AAATTCATTGTGTATAAAATATTTTCCCCATTTTTTTCAGCGACAAAAATACAATGGTTGAAAATATCTATACACCTGCTCTGGCTCAACGTTTGGTTGTGGACGGACTACCTCTCAGCAGGAAGGAAATGATTGCTGTTTATTACCACTCTGGTTATACCATTCAGGAAATCATTGGATTTCTTGCAACCAGACATAACATTACTCTTAATGTGAGACGAATTCATCAAGTTTTAAGGGAAATGGATCTGAAGAGACGAAACAACCAGCCACGTTTGGAGGACATTGTAACGGCTATTCTACATGAACTTTCAGGCTCGGGCGGTGACATAGGCTATAGAGGAATGAGGATGCGTCTGCTAATCGACCATAACCTCAATGTGTCTTGTGAATTGGTGCGCCTTGCATTAACTGTTTTGGACGCAGAAGGTGTAATAAGGCGTAGACAACGTCGTCTTCAGCGTAGAAGGTACATTAACGAAGGGCCGAATTTTTGTGTTCATCTAGATGGCTGGGACAAGTTAAAACCATTCGGAATTTCCATTCATTGCTGTGAAGATGGCTTTTCAAGACGTATTCTCTGGCTCAGAGCTTGCAATTCTAACAAAAACCCTGAGTATATATCCAGATTTTTATAGATTATATCAAAGAAATAAACGGGGTTCCTGTAGTCGTATACGCAGACAGGGGTACTGAGAACTCCATAGTTCGAGATTTGCAATATGCTTTGCGATGGAATCACCAGGATCCCTTACAAGGACTATCAAGTTTTAGGTATGGATCATCATATATAAATACAAGAATAGAGCGATTTTGGCGGTGTTTACGAGAAATGTGTGGCATTTTTTGGATAAATTACTTTAAGGATATGGATAATTTAGGTGTTTTTGACACCTCCGACATAGTCCACCTGGAGTGTGCTAGGTATTGTTTCTTACCAATTATCACCAGAGAACTGAACAGAGTTATAGAGCATTGAAATGAACACACAATTAGAAGAAACCGCAATGCAGATTGTCCGTCTGGAAAACCAGATGTAATGTATTTTCAGCCCGAAATTTTCCAAACAAGAGATTTCAAAATGCCTGTACCTGATAATCTGAATGGCATAGAACAAGAATATTGTGCCTACCCTCCTGCAAATGGTGTTTCAATGGAATTTGAAGTTATCGGTACTCAAATAAGAATGGAAAACGGGTTGAATTACCCACCAAACACAGTAGAAGAAGCAACAGAACTCTTTATCCAAATAACAGACTATGTAGATTGCTTATAAATTACATGTATCTACATACATTTATTTGACTCTTATCGTTTTAAGGAGGTACATTTTTCTCTATGTTCCGGCAAAGCTTTGTGTATTTAATTGCAAATGTATATTACTAGTAGAGTATATATATAAATAGTACATAATATATGTAATTGTTTTTTTTTTATCTGCTTTAACTGTCAAAAGGTCAAAAATCATAATAAATTCAGAAAATTGTTTTGATTACTGTTGAGTGTTGAACTGAGAGTACAAAAGTTTATTTTCCTATGGAATAAAGAATGCAGTTTGTCAGCATGTTTTTTGTTTTTTTATAACTAGGCCAAAGTTTTAATTCATGGTAAAAATGAATTGTTCCTTTTTAAGAGGGCTGGGTGGTTGTGGCCATTTCCGGACTATATTGATCTTCTTTAGAAGAAGAGCTCAATATATACAAAAATGTTTAAATTTTTAAACTAAAATGTATGAAATTTTTGATTGCCAAATGATAGTTGAAAGCTAAAGATATCGTATCTAAAAAAATAAGTTATATCTGATGGTTAATTTGTTGACTCCCCAGCCTCCTTAATGAAGTTGTCATAGGTAATGCACCTGTAAATAAAAGCTCTAGATGTCTTCTCCCTCATTCAGAGCATACCTACTTGACATTAAAAAACTCATTCTTACGATTTTTCACACACCTTATATTCCAATTTTTATTGTTTAAAATATTAAATTAGTTAACTGCACTTCATACCTTTTATTCTTAAACTGTTGCATGTAGAACTTCACTGAATTCATGAATCATTCAGATGTCTACCATCACATAGGGCCCCACTCAAGTAATGGACAATAGGATGAAAAGCATTTCAGAAAATTTTGCTTTGACCTTGACCTATAATTTATAAATTGTCCACTTGGCATAAAACTTTTATTTCAGTCTCATCACCCCTTACCTAAAGCCATTTATTTTTTGTTCTGAACAAGATTAAGCAAATGAAAAAATTTCAAGGTCACTGCACACCGTATGACAACATACACTCTGTGGAAGTATGAACCAGACTAGACCAAGGGGAGAAAAGATGTGCTGCAGACAAAGATTTTAATATACAATTCTGCTATGACCTTAACCTTAGACCTTGAAACATAGTTCAAGGTCATTGCACATCCTTTAAAAGAGATTTCGGACGGACACACTTATTTCTATAGGTCGCCGCAGAGAGGGGCCCTTAAAAATTTTGTAGTCTACGGTCACGTTTCTGAATCGCAAGGACAATTTATTAAACGAAATACAATTTGTGCTTTGTTGTCCACCTCATATTATAGAAAATAACTTAAACTGCAATATCTGCTTGAATAAATTTTCGATCCTTAAAATCAACTTCAATTTTACCGACAGAAAAAAAAACCCAGAACCGTGCCTCATTGCACATGTCTTGGGTAGTACTAGTAACGAATCTGCACGCATGCACAAATGTTCATAGTTATGTATCACATAATTTCTTTTGCATTTAAATTTAATCATTTAATTCAAAATCTTATCATTTTGAAAATCGATCATATTTAAAAAAGTATATATCCCAAATGAAATGACAAATCGATCATATTCACTGAAAACTTTGTCGCCATTCCTGGGTCTTCAGGCACTTACATCGATTTGTGCATGATTTCATTTTTGGATATTACTGCTTCAATGCGGTTGACAACATTTTGATGGTTTGGAAGCAAAATTGAAAAACTAAAAAAAAAATCCAAAGGAGGGTTGTTAAGATTTCTTAAAAGAAAATTAAATGTTGCTTAACTTTCATAAATCAAAGACTTACTGAAATAAAAAACAAAAAAAAAACCCTCTCAACTTGTGTGTATAATAATATTTTTCAAGTGAATCATTTGGTTCATTAAAACACCATGTTATTTTTCTCTGATAAAGCAAGTTGTGTTTTAAAACCCTTTTTACATTGAACTCACCAGGTTTCAATGAAGATATTATATATGGGGGAAAATGAATTTATTAATAATACATGTATTCACTTTCAATAAAATGGAAAAAAGTAATACGTTGCTTGTCGACATAAATATGTTGCATGTTTATATAAATAAGTTGCATGTCAACATATTAATCTTGCATGTCAACATAAATAAGTTGCATGTCAACATAAATAAGTTGCATGTCAACATAGATAAGTTGCATGTCAGCATAAATAAGTTGCATGTCAACATATTTATCTCGCATGTCAACATACCTAAGTTGCATGTCAACATAAATAAGTTGCATGTCGACATAAATAAGTTGCATGTCGACATAAATAAGTTGCATGTCAACATAACTAAGTTGCATGTCAACATATTTATCTCGCATGTCAACAAAAATAAGTTGCATGTCAACATATTTATCTTGCATGTTAACATAAATAAGTTGCTTGTTAACATAAATTAGTAGCATCTAGCATGTTGGATGTCACAAGTGGGCGATATTTGAGATTTTTGAAGATTTTTTATAATTTTTATTTGATTGCAATTTTCTTGCATGTCAGCATATTTATATTGCATGTTGACATAACTATCTTGCATGTCAACATATTTATCTTGCATGTCGACATATTTGATAGAAAAATAACTTGCACACAAGGGGCAGAAATATGCCACCATATCAAACAGATAATGTATACATAAAGACCAACAACAAACCATCATATGAAAATCTGTGAAATCTTTTAATATTCTAGGGGGGGGGGGGTTACTGAAATGCCTGTAGCTTTAAAATGAATCAGATTACCTTACTTCATATTTTAATCATAAGTCACTTATAATGACTACATGTAGTACAGCACATAATAATTTTGGGAAAATTGATCAGATATTTTTTGTCTAGACATTTAAAACTGCTATTGTGGTGAAAATATTACCGTAAAATTCAAATTAATACTTCCCCAAAAACATCGGCATTACTATATCTATCTATAGTTTCCGAAACAATTTTTATTTTCAATAAATATAAAGCTTATTTTTAAATATCTACAGGAAATTATTTAATTTATTTCAATTTTGTTGTGTTTATTGCATAATAATAAATTCATCTAATAAATTTAAAAAAAAATGGTGGTTACCATGGCAACCATAACCTTTATAAGTAAAAATGAGAAAAATTTATTGAGCGGATATTTTTCACGGAGTCTTGCAATCTTTTCCTTAACTGCATCTGACAACGTTAATTGACAAGAAATTGTTCAGTTTCAATATATTTGCTATAGACAATTGTCCTTTAAGGCCACACTAATTTAAATTCCTGTTCGTCGGACATTTGATGAAAAAAGTACGAGCGGGCTAGCGGTTAAATAATAATATTATTACTTTATTGAAGGCAAAATTCTAAGGTGGGGCGTGAAAAAAAATTCAGCGGAGAATTATGTTTTTCTAATTTGCAGAGTAAGTAGATTAAAAGTACGATAAATAGAGCGGAAATGGTACAGAAAACAGCACAGAATTCCCGTGATGCGGGGATTTTAAATTAATATTATTTTTTAAGTTTTGTTAAAATACGAGCGCGCGTGTCCGACGAACAAAAAATTGTATTGGTTTGGCCTTATATATTTTATTTAAAATTAAAGAACATAAGAGATACTGTTCGTTATCTCAATAACCTTCTATCGATAGGTTTTATGCTTTTGTTATGCACAGGTATTTTAGTAGATAAAAAAACAACGTAGTTTTCAGGGTTTTCCATCCATTTAAATGCCCAGGTGAACAAGTACATAATGGTAGAAAACTGAGTATATTGTTCTAAATTTTCAACGGAGATTCTAAAAACGTAAAGTTAATTACTTCAAGGTAGGTCTTTGCTAAATTGGTTATTCTTCTTACATGGTACTCCATATTTAAACCATTATTCCACAAGAAAATGACAGTTTTTTGTGTATGGACAAAAGAATCAAAACAGATAGATTAATATTGGAAACACCCTAGAATCAAAATGAGAATGCAGGGTAATATTGTGTCAAACAAATCATTCTGACACAATATCACGGAATATCTGGTTTTCCTTTACTGGAAAACATAGTACATGTACCTGTATTATGATTGCTTAACTTTAAAAAAAAAATAAAACCTGAACAGGTGAAGAAGAAAAATGCAATCATGACCTAATTTATCTAGATGTTTAAATGAGTGCCATAGAAATTTGTGTTTAAAATAATTCGTGTCTGTAGGCACCTGTTTGCCTCATTCCTCTCAGATTTATCATTGTATGAAAACGAAACTAACTACTTATTATACATTTCCTTTTATCGCAAATTTTATTCATATTCCTATCTTGTCGAAATAGATACGTTACTTTTGTTGTCAAATTAAAAACATTTCAACTGTGTTTTACAGGTGTGTAAAATCTTTTACAGAAATGATTCAACAAAGTTTAGTGGAGATGGTCTTTGTTTTATCTGTGGTACGTTTGTAATAGCATTATAGTATATCTTAATATTATCGATTATTGAATATAAGGAGGTTTCAAGCAAGAAAAAAAAAACATCAGTGTATATTTCTTTCATAGGTGTGTGTGAGATTCTTAGAGAGTGCGTCGTGTACACAATCAAGAATAACAGTGACAAGTACCAAATCGTGTCCTAAAAGTAAGGAAGAGTGGGATCTAAGAGCTGCTGCAAAGGGATGCTCGCTTGTATCAAAACAGTGCGGAGATAATGAGGAATCCGTTTACCACTGTGTATTGAATAGTTTTGCTAACGATACATTAGAAGTATGCGCCCCAAGAGCTCGAATATTAGGTAACTTAAAATATAATGTATATTGTATACGATTTTTTTTAAATCTAATTTTTTAAGATTATTTGCTAATATAATATTTAGATTTAGTGAAAACAGTTGTCTGCATAACAGTAAAACTTGATAAAATTTAAAGAAAACACTACTTGGCGATATGAAAAAATAATGACATTGATTTTTATTTGTGGATAAACTTGAGGTAAACATCAAATGTATTCGAATAAATTATCCTTAGCTATAAAGCATTTTCTAGACGGCAGATTAATTTAACTTGCTTGCAATATAACATGGATAGATAATAAATGTTATTGTTAATCATTAAAACAGAAACCCATCTGGTTCTGATGTCCAGACTTATAAATTTTCAACCAGTGTTCTTAAAGTTAATTTCCATTTGTCTGACCATGGGGTTTTACAGGACAGGTATGTGCTGAGTACAACGTGCTGGGAGCTATCATACAAGAAAGCCAATATGCAAAGTGTGAAGATACATGCCCATTTGCATACACATCCACAGATGTTTATAAATGTAAGGGTGACACTATGTATGTGTGAGGGAGAGAGAGACGAAATATTATTATCACATACTGAAATAGAGGTTTTGAAAAAAAAAATACATGTAAGGTAATTGAATTATTTTTCGCCAAACACTCCAATCAAGTCAATATCTTTTTTTTTTTTTTTTTTTTTTTTTGAATCAGGATTGAACTACTTGTTGTCCAAAGAAACATACCCTGAAGCATACTCTCTGTACCTACTGTAAAAATATACTAGCTAGATAAATTTTTATGCAGAGAGACACAGTGATGTAATTGTGTTCGCCCATCTGTATGTCTGTCGGTCTTTTACGCTTCTGGGTACCAATCTCTTATCAACACCTCCTCTTATACAACTGTATGAAATTAAATGAGACTATTACAGAATCGTTATAATGTAGTGTCACTGTGCACCCCTTATTTGAGTTTCTGGTCGGACACATAATTTGGATATATATTGGCAGAAAAATTAAGGAGACTGCCATTCTTTTTCATTTTTAAAAGGACCCCTCACATTACAATTGAATAAAAATGATTGATACCTTCACAGATACTTTACTACATAATGTCTTTGTTTTTCTTTTTTATTCATTTCATTTTATTCAGGTAAAAATATCACAGAATGTCATGATTCACATATTAAAACATTACAGACTAGCACACTACTAGGAAAAAAACGCACACATTATCTCAGCACTATGCTACTTAAAGAAGATTTAATTTAACATAAACATGCAATTATTAATTATTAAATAAATTGCATGACATACAGATGATAGATATTACCTAAGGATAGCCCTTTTTTCTTTTATTGCTTATTGTATGGGCTTCGTCATTATAATCATAAAGGAGCAGGAATATGAATTAATCAGAGCTAAGTGCTCACAGTACGTTTATTTGTCTATTTTTTTTTATCTAATGCTATCACTCTCGTAATTATTTTAGCTATAATATCGAGGGATCTTCATATATATGAATCTGTCACTTATCTGTTTCTTTGCAAATATTTTTAATTGTCATGGTTTAAAAAGACACAGTTAACCTACTGAAGATACAGATATCTCTAAAAACACTTGGCACTTTTCATACAATGCCAATCGACGAAAAAGCAAGAAAGATTGACTTTTCCTTATTAAAAATTCAAATTAAAAAAAATGTGTTTGTGAAACACTTAACCGTATGGCAACATAGCAAATTCTAAACTTTTTTTAAAAGCAAATTTAATAAATTGGTACCAAAAGTAGGGTATATGTATTCTCACTGGAAAACAATTGTGAAATTTGAAAGTAGGCCAACGCAGCACTGTTAAGGCTTACTATGAGAAATCGACAGAAAAAAGAAATGCAAAAGCGGGTATTGTTTTTAAATCTGAATTCATTTTTATTCAGCCGTTTTATTATCACAGAACTTAAATACTTATGGAAATAGCATATTATAACCTACTCTGTACTGTATGAAGTTTGTCCAAATCGATGCACAGTCACGTGATGAATGCATAGTACGTTTACTGAATGTAGGTCATTAAACAATTTCAATATCGCAAGGGCATACCTTTGAAATTAAAAATGAAAGATATTAATTGTTTCACTTACTATGTACTATATGGAAAGTGCTGCTGCTTTGATTAGAATTTGCCTTTTAATACTTAAAATTTCAAGTAAAGGACCCATGTCGAAATATGTTTGATTTTTACCAGACATTTTGTGTACTTATAAAGTCACCCTCTCGATTTAAAGAAAGCAGCAGCACTTTTCAAGTTATGAAACACAACCTTTATTTATATACAAAAAGTGGTTAAGATTAATTTAGTGCATGTCCTTCCGAAATAACGATTTAATAAGGCACCTCGATGTAATATATACCTAACCTGAACATAAAAACACGACAAAATTATTTAAATACACTCTCTCAATAGTTAATAAATTATTGCACTAAACAAAGGATATACATTAGTATTAATAGCATATTTAACATCTGTAAATAACATTCCGTTTAATAAAAAAACGTATTTTTCATTGTTAAGAAAATTTCCTCAATCTGCCTCTCACAGCTCATGAAATACATTATTTTCACAAAAATGACGTCATCATTGACAAGATCATCTAAATCAGTGATCTGTTTATAACCAGCTGAATGGGGCTTCATAAGCAACTTTTTTTTAATGCGTTGATTAGATTTTTTGTTGATTATTATGCTGATGCAGTTTAAAGTTGCTAATTATTTTAAATTCTGGTATTATTAGGAATACATAATAGTAATATTTTATTATGACGTCATAGTAAATTTTTTCCGTATAAATAAGTCCCCGCCTCCTTATTTCAACCTTAAAAATGCTGCTAATTATGGAAGTCTTAGCCCTAACCGTTCAGAAATGATGACCAAGGTTAATTTTTTTTTAAAGTAGGTCAAACTCCAACGTCAAGTTCAAAGGGTTAAAGTTCTTTTTATCAAATAAAAGGTCTTATGGAAGGATTAAATATGTAAAGTAAGAAAGCTCTAGCCTTAACCCTTTAAAAACTATGGTAAAGCTTAGCTTTTTTAAAGTAGGTCAAACTCAAAGGATAAAGGTCAATGTTCTATCCCATAAAAAGTCTTTTCACAAGATAACATATATGAAGTATGAAAGCCCTATCTCTAACCGTTGAAAAAATATGGCCAAGGTTAGAGTTTTTCCACAAGTAAGGAAATCTACAAGATAAAGGTAAAATAATCAAGGTTAATATTGGTAACCACTGAATGGTCTTTTAACAAATAATACATATGTGAAGTATAAAAGACCTGGTATATACTGTTCAAAAGATATGGCCAAAGTAAAAGTTTAAAATTTTCATGCAAAAGTGGGTCAAACTCCAAGGTCAATGTTAAAAGGTCAAATTTTGAGGTACCCAAAGAATTGTCTTGTCACAAGGAAAACACATATTAAATATAAAAGTCATGGCTCCACGTAATCAAAAGTTAGGTGTAAGGTTAAAGTTTTTGCCGACAAACAAACGGACGGGCAGACAGAGAGACAGACAGACGGACGGACGGACACGACGAAAACTATATACCCCCGAAACTTCGTTTACAGGGTCATAAATATATATAAAGTGAATAAATATATTCTATAATGAGTTAATTTTTTTTTATTCTATTATCATTTTTTTCTTTTATTACAACAGACCAAAATTGTTTTAGAAAAATTGCCAGTAAAAACAGGACTGACACAATGCCAGTAAAAGGAAGGGACGACATCAACTCAAACATTTCCAGGTATTTAAATTATTTCATAATTCTTCTGAATAGGAGGTGGTTTCCAACCTTTTGTACGATATCATGAATGAAGAAAATGTAGATATTACAACCCCTGCAGCAAAAAGAGTCCTCTAAAAACAATTCCATATTCAGAAAAGGGGATTTCAACATCCACAATGCACCATATCTTTTTTGTAAGATTACTTACATGTTAAATTTCAGCCCATCTAGCATTTGGTTTGAAAAAAAATCTTTGTATTATTTTTAACTTCGGCAGAAGTAAAACGAATTAATATAATTATGTTTATCTCATCTGAGCTATGACGTCAAATGTATTTCTGACGTGTTTATATATACTGCGACACGGGACTTCATTTTATACAGTCTCATCCGAAGGACCATTCTATATGTCCCAAACCGGGAATCAAATCCGTGAAGTAAGGATCAACTCCTTATTTTGTACTTCTAAATTGGTTAACTTGTAACTTAATTCACCACTTCAACAAGCTGGACAAAAGAAATACAAAATAAAACATTTTTATTTCTCGAAAACCACTGGTCTAAGTTTAACCAAAGATATCAGAAAACAGCCTTTTATACATGTAAGAGGGAATATAAATCGTCCAATAAAAGGTCAAGTCCTATTCAACGGGGTTTTAATGACATACATGTATGTTGTTTTTTTTTTATCTTTAAAAATCATTGAAAGAACCAGTGACCTGTCTGGAAGATATAAAGCAAGTACAACAGCTTCGTTGGGTACTATTAACTCTAAATTATACACATTATGGATAAAGAGGGAAGGGTCTGTTTGAAATAGCAAATAATTTTAATTTTGTGGTATTTTGAAGACCTTATATTATGTGTGACGCCATAGTAAACATTTCCTGTACAAATTGGGTCCCACCTCCTTACTTTAACCTTAACTGTGCTGCGAAAAGTTTAAGGTTGAAATGACTTACAAATTTCTTTTAACGTAATATGAAATCAGTAACGCCGCAATAACATTATTACGTCAAAAGATACAATTTTAAAGAGACTGCACCATTTTCCGAGACCTTTGACGAAAAAAAAAAGATTTGAGATAATCAAAAAAAAAATTTTGAAAGGACACATCTTACACAATTTTGTAAAAAAAAAATTCTAAAATCAAATCAGAGTCAGGGCCGCCTTGTTAAACATAACGAACCCAGTTCCTTTCGTGAATTCAATGCTTTTTTAAATAATGCACAGTGGATAAGAGTTTGCTAAAACTGGGATCAGATAACACATAATTCAAGTATGAAGGAGAAGAATTTGCTTCTCAATTATCACAATGTAGTAATGATACGGCTGTCCGAATGCTTAAAATGCCTTGAAAATATACATCTTATTCTGAGCTAGATTTAAATTTTAATATGTATTCCTTGTTTGAAATAGCAGACAACTTGAGAAGATAATTTAATCAGGTTTTATTTAAAGCATTTATGTGATGTCAAATGACTGTGTTGATCACGTGACAGATATTTACGATATTCCTTATTGTTGCATAAAAATCGCTTCGGCACAAGTGCAAAACTACGGCGCCGCTGGAGGGCCAGGCAAAAAAATATTTTTATTTGTTCGGACAAATTAGAAATTCGTTCGGACGAATTAGATATTCGTTCGGACAAATTAGAAATTCGTTCGGACGAATTAGTTATTTGTTCGGACGAATTAGATATTCGTTCGGACGAATTAGATATTCGTTCGGACGAATTAGTTATTTGTTCGGACGAATTAGAAATTCGTTCGGACAAATTAGAAATTCGTTCGGACGAATTAGTTATTTGTTCGGACGAATTAGAAATTCGTTCGGACAAATTAGAAATTCGTTCGGACGAATTAATTATTTGTTCGGACGAATTAGATATTCGTTCGGACAAATTAGATATTTGTTCGGACAAATTAGAAATTCGTTCGGACAAATAAGTTATTTGTTCGGACAAATTAGATATTTGTTCGGACAAATTAGAAAATCGTTCGGACGAATTAGTTATTTGTTCGGACGAATTAGTTATTTGTTCGGACAGATTAAATATTTGTTCGGACAAATTAGATGTTTGCACAAATTATCTTGTAAAGAGAGATATACAATTTGTCCATCCCTTTTTAATACATAAATAGCTCTTTGGACCATGACATACACACGTTGCAACTAGGCATGTGCTATTAAAGTCGGGTATGTTGATTGTAAATATTCTGAAATAATGGTTCTATACCGGTGTATATTATAGGCCTAAAGTCTGCCATTCTGAAAGTATATTATCTGAGAGCCCACTAGTAAATTCAAAGGGTCAGTTACTTCTTATCAAACATCTTTTCACTCCCATCCCTGACACACTTATAAGATTTGTCATAAATAAACATCATCTGGTTCTACCAGACCAACTTTTGCTGGTGGTGTTAAATTCGTAACACAGGGGTGACAGTGGTCAATTACCGCTTCTTTGAAAAGATGAGATCCACTCCTTAAGGTTTTATTCATACCGCATGCAATTGGTACGGGAAAAAATTGGCATTGAACAAGTAAGCCCCCCCCCCCCCCCACCACCACGAAATAGGACTGTCAACTTTAGGCAACTTTTCCCGTGTCCCCCCCCCCTTTTTTTTTGCTAGTCAACTTTTCAGGTAAGTATTTTTTTTTCAGCCTCCCCCCCCCCCCACTGCTACGTGGCTGTATTGTATTATATTAAATAAACTTCGGACTCAAAATATGAAGCCTCTCATTCGATGGGTCTTAATTTTTTAAGGCGGGGCTTACTAGCTAGAACATTTGTGGTTTGGCTTCTATACCGCTGTTCCCACATTTAAGTATTTTGAGATAAAGGAACAAAAAGAGGGAATCTCATAAGTCCATCTCCAATGGATTCTTTCGAAGATCGTTAAAAACTATCATTAAGTATCTATACAAATTTTATTTTATATTTAAGTATCAGAAAAGCGCATGAATTAAAACATGCAGGTATAATATTGACCAAATTAAACACACGCCCCTTTCCGGGAAAAGGATAAAAAAAAATTTATGAATACATTTACGTTCCTAGAAAGTGTAGTAAAAATTAAAAACACATCATAATTTAATGCAAGTTAAGCTTCTCAATGATTAAGACAATTGATCGTTTTTAAATAGAGGAGGGGGGGTGTTACTTGAAAATATTTTGACATTCATTCATTCATGATTTATTTTCCCCATAAAAGGGGTTGGTTTCATAATTCCTCTTTCTATTGAGTCATTGGCCTATCAAACCTTCGAACTGGTATTCAACTGTAAAAGCGTATAAACAAATTAAGAAATGCTGAAAGTGAGATTAAATAGTTTGTTCGACTACATGTACCTCTCCAATAAGGGGAGGGGGCTATAATTATGCTCTGTAAATCAATGGACACGGGCTCGCGAGTCATAGGAACAACCTGAGATCAATACGAACAGGTTCATTTTTGTGAAGTTTTCTTAATTCACAAACAGGAATATTTAATTAAAAACTCAATGAGGACCTTTTTTCATTTTATACACCGCATATGTACCAGATTGATTGATTGAATGTTTTACGCCGAATCGGCAATATTTCAGCCACATATCGGCGATATATGTATCAGAAATGTATTTCAAAAATCATTTACATGTCATGATTACTAAATTGCAGGGTAGTGAATATGTACATAAAATTATAAGAAAGAGATCAAAATTAAAACGACTTATCTTCAAAATATTTATTGATAATGTTGTTCATTAAAGTTATTTTGCAAAGAATCAAAATAAAATGAACCGTCTTGATCTTGGTGCAAATCGCACATTTATCGCGGTGTCCTGACAGTTGTTCACATTTTCTCTAATTTGTCCGAACAAATAACTAATTTGTTCGAACGAATTTTTAATTTGTCCGAACAAATATCTGATTTGTCCGAACAAATAACTTATTTGTCCGAACGAATTTCTAATTTGTCCGAACAAATTTCTAATTTGTCCGAACGAATATTTAATTTGTCCGAACAAATAACGAATTCGTCCGTACGAATTTCTAATTTGTCCGAACAAATAACTTATTTGTCCGAACGAATATCTAATTCGTCCGAACGAATTTCTAATTTGTCCGAACGAATATCTAATTCGTCCGAACAAATAACTAATTCGTCCGAACGAATTTCTAATTTGTCCGAACAAATAAAAATATTTTTTTTACCTGGCCCTTCAGCGGCGCCGTACAAAACAAAAATATTGTGCAAAGTTTGTTACATAAATCAATTCATCGTGTTTACTAGTAAATAGAACGTGCTGGGGGCAGGTTTAAGGACAGATGATACAAACAATTTTTTTTTCTTTGAAAAAGATTAGATATCATGTCACAAGTTTAGAAAAGTGGATGGTTCTTAGAATTTTTTCTCCGAAGAACTGGAATATGAAAAAGACTTGGAAAATATTAGTAATATTTCAATGAAAACACAAATAGAGACAAATCACATTCAGTAAAGGTTTACAGGTGAAAATAAATTTCAGAATATGTTATCTTGGCGCTAAAAGTGTAATATAAACTTAAGAAAAATATACCTAGCCAGGTGAATTTTATTAGGAAAAGCTAAATGGTAAAAATAAGCCTATGTGATATTGCCAATTTTTGGTCATTTCGATCTTCCTTTTAAAATTCACCTGGCTTGGTATATTTTTCTAAGGTTTATATTACACTTTTAGCGCCAGGATGACATATTCTGAAATTTATTTTCACCTGTAAACCTTTACTGAATGTGATTTGTCTATATTTGTGTTTTCATTGAAATATTACTAATATTTTCCAAGACTTTTTCATATTCCAGTTCTTCGGCAAAAAAATTCTAAGAACCATCCACTTTTCTAAACTTGTGACATGATATTTAATCTTTTTCAAAGAAAAAATTTGTTTGTATCATCTGTCCTTAATTTATACTCGTTTAGAAAATATTTTACGAGAAATTAAACTTACCAACAGAAGAGGGGGTATTTTCCACTCTTCATCGCGATTCATACAAAAACGGATAAACTACACACAATCCCACAGCAATATTCAGTTAGAGGACATACATCTCTTGTAGATTCACACAGAATATGTTCAATTTGTCCTTGTTTATCACTTGTGCCAGTCCAATATAAACACGATTCATAAATTCTAACTCTGTCTACGGACGTGTAAGGGGAGCGTTTCACACATATTTTTTGGCTATTGTTTGAGTATGTGCATATCGGACAAGCAAAAAGAATAAGTATATTTAAATTTCAAATGTTCAACACCATAACTGCACACTCGAGCTAAAAAAAAACAATCCTAACACTTGAATTAAACAACAAGTCCCCAAAATAAATCTACATGCCATGTAAAAATTATGACACTTTCCCCGTCACGTCAGCTGAAGTATGCAGTGGCTTGACGTCATATTCTATTATGACGTCATATGTAGGTAGTTCAGAGAAGTTACTAGTTTGAACAGTTTGATATTTTACGGACAGCCTTATCCTAGCTGCGAAGGTAATCGAGAGTCATTATGAAAATGAGGCATCTGTATATGTTGTGCGAATCAAGAACCCTTTAGAGTTAAAGTTCGTCTTTAATATGAAGTCATTTTTATTGTATCTATATATATATATATATTTATATATTTTTCAAATCCGATTACGAAAAGAAGGACGAGATTTACTCAGGTGACCATTGTGCCTAACAAGTCTTTCCCTCTCTCTTTTCAGTTGTACCCAGGAAAATTCGAGTGAAACTTCAGAGAAGAAATGGATGATCTCTACAATTGTTTTGATATTAATCAATGTTTTTTTAATTGCCTGGATAATTTATACATATGATCTTTCAAAAATAAGAAAGAAGAAAGGAAAACATATGGGTTTGGTTTTCTTTTAATTGTTCGTGTTTTGAAAATAAAAAAAAAAATGTTAACAAACTTTCAGCAAGTACAAAAAGTTTAAAGATTAATAGAAAGAGACGGACACTCCTCTAGGCTGACAAAATTGCATACTGTTTCAAACTTTTCTCCAGCATAACTCAAGAGAAAACTGATTCTTATATAAGCCTTTTTTTAAGATTTTAAATAGATAAATCATTTTTTTTTTTTCAGATTTTGTTTCCAATATCAAAGGTAATATTAATTTTGAAAATATAGTGAATTATGTGGAATTCCGGTTCACTATGAATTCGTACCTATTTCAATGCTGTTGTTTTTTTTCATTGCGTAATCGGACATCCTTTCAATTCAAACACAATATGTATTTGCAAGTATTTATGGGATTAAACATATACAACTGTATTTGTTAAAATAAATATTTTTATTTTAATTATAAACTTGAAAACATCATGAGTTATGCAATTTAATACCTTTTCTTGAAAACATATAAAGCAATTTTTTTGTGTACAGAGGAAGAAACCCTCCTTAATAATGGTAACACTGGAGCAGGCAAAAACGAAGGTAAAAAATCCTTCATTTAATAGATTTAATTTCTTCCAGAAAAAAGTTAAAGTACATGTGTAGCAATATTACCAGCGTATTATACATGTAGTGTTATGGGTAAAATCAAGAGGAATGTGATTAATTAATTAATTCCTTATGTGAAATCCTGAGGCAGAGACTTCGTACTACATAATCTTAAAAAAATTAAAGACATGTACACCTCACACGAGATATCGATTGATTGATTGATTGTATATTGTTTAAAGTACTTCTCGAGAATTATTTACTCATATGGAGACGTCACTGTATGCCTCTGAAGGGCTTCAATTTAGACCTATACTCGGCAATTAGGGTTAATGAGCAGTGAGGGTTCTTCATCGTGCCAACGCCTACCGTGACACGGGACCTACGTTTTTAAGGTCAAATCCGAAAGACCCGTGGCTTTTTTTTTCTATCGCCGAGCGCTTGGCCAAGGAACAGTCACTACCTATGTTAATGTCTTAGGTATGACGCGGCGCTGCGAATGAGAATCGAACCTGGACCTCCCGAACACGAAGTAACACGAAGTGAACACTCTTCTACTAGGCTACCGGTATTTGAGATATCAAATTCATTTCAAGATTTATTTGTCGTACTTTTCTTTCATAATATGAAGTATTATTGTAATGCCTGCGACTTTAATGTGTGGGAAAAACCTTTGAGCATAAAGAGTGGGCGGATTTTTTTTCTTCCAAAATCAATGGCAATGTCCTTTGTGTGCAAGATAACGATATTGGGGTTATAAAACGTTATAGAGTGATGTTGAAAGTCTTCATAGACTCTGCATTAAATTAATATTGTCTTGGTTTTTTTTACTAGTTTCCCCCTTTTTGAAATGTAGAATTTCTTTTAAAACGAACCATCCATCCATTATCCATACATCCATGACGTTTTTTCACATATTATTAATTTAAAATAAGAAACCTTTACAGAGTATTTTTATATGAAAAAAAGAACGTAGCTTTTAAACATAAATGTATTTAACTTCTATAACTAAGAATTCCTACATCCTAGCCTCAAAAAAGGAAAAAAAAGTGATCAGATGTACTAATGATAGTTTTATTTTTTTTTTATTTTTCTTTAATTTATAGTCCGCCATACTGGTGTTAATGTAACATGTGTTTACATCGGGGAGACAGTTTTAACAATGGCTTTGTCAAAAGAAGACCGTCCTGAGAATATAAAAATTCTTGGTGCATCTGAAAGAATGTCTTTATTGTTCACTGGCAAAAATACTTTTTTTGGCAATGAAGCATATGATCTATACATGAAAGAAGAAAAAGAAAATTGGAGATATGAGGATAGATTGAAATTAAGTAAGGTAAGGAATACTTTACCATTTTTTCTTCCAAGAAAGTCTATTTATATTATTACTTATGTTGTTATTGTTATTGTGATTTTGACTATCCTAGGTGACTGTCAAAGGTAATTTGAAAGGAATCATATATTTCACAAAGGAAGTCGCACAATATTATTTTATTCCATTTATTAAATAAGCCCAAAATGAAATGATTTGACACATTCAAATGCATTGATTAAAAAAAAATTTTTTTCTTAAAATTTTCTTTCGTGCTCGTCATTTTACGTTTCAAGAGGATATTTTCTAGTCTGAGAACTTGAAAATATTTTATAATTTGGTAATAAGTCAGTGTCAAAAGAAAAAAAGATATGATTACATGTAATAAAAGAAGTGTCCTTATGTTGTGTAAAGCCCGAGTAAGTACAATTGTGTTGAAAATGCTGCATTCAAGTGCGTCATGCACAGTATATACATCTATACACATATATAAAAAGTTAAAACAACAAAAAAAAAAAAAAAAAAAACAGAAAAGAATCATAAATTAGTTCCTACCATGAACTATTAGGTCGTACCTAATATATTCTGTATATATATCGTTAAAAAATATTCACCATAATATTACAATCCAAGCCTGATATGTTTATATCACAACATACATTGCAAATTCAATCAACATCACTAATAGTGACTAGTATATAAAATTGTCACCATAGAAGCAAAACGTCGTAAGTCTGTGCATCATTTTATTTCAAATAAGAGAGAAAATGAAAAAAAAACTGTTTCATTCGTAGAAAAACAAAATGTGTTAAAACTTTTCAGTATTCTGCAGAATAGCTAAATATCTTTAGACATTGATGAAAAAGTATTAAAATGTGTTTTATACCATTATTTTTATTAATTTTATACACTTGTGACCTTTTGCCTTTGAAATATAAAACTATTTTTACGGGGATTAAGATCGTAACTACAACATACTACCTTTCTGCATACAAGTAATAAGAACACTACCATTAATTTATATGGTTAAGTGACAATGTGTTTTTACTACAATGTTTATCATGTTACATGTACTCAACTATTGGACAAAGGTTGATTACATGAATGTGTTTTCATGTATTTGCTACTAGATCAAAACAAGAAATATTTATATTTATTAATCTAAGCAATCTCCACAGTAAAGGAACCTATTAATTTTTGTAAACTGAATCAGCAGTTTCTTAAAAAAAATTAAAATAAAAAAATAATAATATCAAAAACAATTTGAGTTATCGTACATCAGATCACTTAAAAAGATTGCTTATATAGGGAAACATTACAAATATGAGGTTTTTTGCTCTTAAGAATTGTTACATAATGTTACATTGTAACTTGCTATGCTGACCATTAGACTGCAATTCGAAGCATCAACATCTGGAGAGATAATGAACAAGAAAATTGTTCATCAAGATTAAGTAGGTAAACATTTAAACAATGACATTGTGTCGAATTAAAAAAAAAGCTTCATTTGAGGTGAATCTAAATTGCTACTTGGCAAAACAAAACAAAAAGTAAGCAAATTGAACAGCAAACTAGTGTCTCTGTTATATTTATGGGAATACGAGTGAATCTGAATCGTCATTTTCATCAGGTTCCTCCAACATGTTGCAAACACTTCCCCTATGAGGGAGCTGGGAATAAAGCTTGTGGCAGATTCGTGTTATGACATTTTTCTTGCACAGACTCATTAAGTCCTTGACTTTGGCATCTGAGATTGGAACTAATGAGGAGTAGAATGGTTTCAGATGATATTTTTTCATGTTTTTAAATTTGGCCCCTCTGGTTCGTCCACTTCGAATATCAATGGATTTGTAATCTGGTTGACTGATTTCGTATTTAAAAAATATCTTGGTTGGATCTTCCTTTCGATACTGGAATGAATGAATATTATTCCATTTTACTCTCGATCCATCTTCAGCCTGCTTTCTATTGCCTATACAATCATCCGTAAGCTCTTTGAAATCCATAACTTTCTCATTTTCGAACTCTTTCACTTCATACTTAGGTGGGTTTACTTTCGCATTGCGGACACTATGCATTCAGTCACTGGAGGGAAAACATCTCAAAGTGTTTATTTGATCTTTCAATCACGGCATGGACAGAATCCCCCTCCATCTGTGAGCATCCCCGTTCAAATTAATTGTGTGTTATTTTTTTTTTTGCATGGAAAAATTAACAATAGAGAAGAGGCACATTCCACTAAATGGTAAATTTCTTTGCTGGCCAGTGCAACTATCTGAATTGTACAATAGTTTTTCAATTGATCCAACACTTCTATTGTACTCTAGCAGACAGAAAGCTATTTCACAACTCCCCCCTTTGCTATGGTTTCCCACCACGTGTTACAAACAGTTTCTTTGGGAACAACATCAAATATAGTGAAGTTGTAAGTAGCAAGTTTTCTGCTGTACTACAGTTCATTTATTTGAGCCTTGGGGGTAACAAGTAAATTCTGCAAATCAAAGTTTATTGTTTTGATCTTTTCACTCTCTGTTGCTCTTTGTTTATCTTCTTGTTCCTTTTTTTTCATTCTTGCTTCCTGCTTTCGTTGCTGATGCTTTTCAAATTCATGCTTATTTTCCTGTTTTTCTTTTTCTGACATTTTCCCATATGCATCACAAAATGAACAGATATCCACTTAGGGTTTGTGGAACCCTAAGTTGAATTCGGTAGCAAAAATTTTATCATACAGACAGAACTATTGTGCCTCCTTGTGATCAGCTTCACATTTTTCGACGTACAGACGTATACATTTTTCTAATGGAGAGAGAACTCTCCAAATATTCTCGCTGAGTTGATTTTCTACAAAAGTGCGATTCTGCTTTTGGAAATGAACGAATATGCTCCATGATAAGCTGTTTGTCTTCATCTGAAATTTTATTTTTTGGAAAATTTCCCTCTGTTGTCTGCGGAAGTGAAGGGGTTCTCTTTGTTCTTTAAGGACAGATGATACAAACAATTTTTTTCTCTAGAAAAGATTTAGTATCATGTCACAAGTTAAGAAAAGTGGATGTTTCTTAGAATTTTTTCTCCAAAGCGTTGGAATAAGAAAAAAAAAACTTTAGTAATATTTCAATGAAAATACAAATAAAGACAAATCATCACATCCAGTAAAGGTTTACAACTGAAAAAAATTTCGGAATATGTTACCAAGGTGCTAAAAGTGTAACTTAAACTTATGAAAAATATACCAAACCAGGTGAATTTTATTAGGAAAAGCTAAATGGTAAACATCAGCCTATGTGATATTGCCTACATTTTGTAATTTTGTTCTTCCTTTTAAAATTCACCTGGCTTGGTATATTTTTCTAAAGTTCATATTACACTTTTAGCGCCAGGATATCATATTCTGAAATTTATTTTCACCTGTTAACCTTTACTGAATGTGATTTGTCTATATTTGTTTTTTTTATTGAAATATTTCTAATATTTTCGAAGTCTATTTCAGTTTCCGGTTCTTCGGGAAAAAAAGTCTTAGAACCATCCATTTTTCTAAACTTGTGACATGATATTAAATCTTTTTCATTGAAAAAAAAATGTTTCTTTCATCTGAAATTAATGCGTAGGTTACAGTTTTTTCACCAATATCTAGTGTTCCTAAAAATGTCTTTTTGCACACCTCCACCTTTCATTCATCAATAGGCAAATAGTAGTGAATTGTGTGTTTTCTTCTTGTCTCGATCTTCTTCTGGATTCTTTGTCTTTCTTCACTTTTCAATCATTATTGCATTGGATCTTATGAAATCTCTTTGGCGATCGTATGATAGGCTCCAGTAATTTTGAAATATTTCTGACATTTTGCTATTTATACCTGCACTTTCTAAAGAAAGTTCGGGTATATTGTTGTTACTCATGTCCGTCCGTCCATCCGTCCGTCTGTCAAACTTTTCTTCCCTGAACTCCTCCTACATTTGATATAGTAGCCTTATCATTTTTGGGGAGATGGTTGATGGTGTCATGTAGATGTGCAGTAAGGTATCGGAATTTTGATTTTGCCTCGGGGGGTCAAATGGGGGTCGAAAAATGACGTTTTTTTTTTTGCAAAAAGCCCCGTCTTCCTTGAACTCCTCCTACATTTTACAGAGTAGCCTAATCATCTTTAGGGAGATGGTAGGTGGTGTCATGTAGATGTGCAGTAAGGTTTCGGAATTTTGATTTTGCCTCGGGGGGTCAAATGGGGGTCGAAAAATGACGATTTTTATGCAAAAAGCCCCGTTTTCCCTGAACTCCTCCTACATTTTACATAGTAGCCTAATCATGTTTTGGGAGATGATTGGTGGTGTCATGTAGATGTGCAGTAAGGTTTCGGAATTTTGATTTTGCCCCGGTGGGTCAAATGGGGGTCGAAAAATGACGTTTTTAATGCCAAAAGGTCCGTCTTCCCTGAACTCCTCATACATGTACATTTTACAAATCAGCCTAATCGTCTTTCAGGAGAATTAAATATTTTGAAAATTAGGTAAAATCAAGGGATCAAAAATCATCGCATGCTGGGAAATATCTTGAATTTTTAAGAGTAATTAATGTACATGTCATATGTGAAAGTCACATCTCTTCTTAATCAAAAGCTATAAGCAAACGCTACATTTTTGAAAAGTAGGTTAAGCTTCAAGGTCAAGGTCACAGAGTCAAAAGTCATGATTTATTTGGAAAGGTCTTATCACAGGTAATAATATACATGCATGTATAAAATGAATGCCCTAACTTTTCTCTTTCAATTTGATGAATTAAAAACATGCAACTTTTTTGCAAGTAGGTCAAACTTCAAGGTTAAGGTTAAAAAAAATCATGCCATTGTCACAGGTAAATACAAACACATATGTTAAATATGAATGCCTTGTCTCTTCTTATTCAATAGATATGACCGTGATGACCAAGGTTAAATTTATTGAGACAGATGGACAGACTACTAACATACAAATGTACATATTTCTATGTGAATTAATTGGTTAAAATTGGCCCAGTGGTTCTAGAGAAGAAGTTAA